GCTATGTAATCCCAGGCCACCTTGCCTCCTTCCTGAGCTTCCCTGGAGGGCTCCTCCTGCATCCCTCACTCTTTCTGGAAAGTTCCATCTGCAGAACGTGCCGTGGCTGGCAAGAAGACATTGCTCCCAGCAAGGCACCTTGTCCATCCCACTTCATCTGAGGCCCCTCGCCGGACGCGGATCTGCAGCGGTACCTGGGCTCAGCCTGGGGTGCCGCTTACTCGGCTCCGGGGAGCCCCGTCTGTCACATGGGGCCCAGGCCAAACGAGGGGCTCCCTTACCCCGTGGCTCTGAGGTTCCTGCGGCGTGGCTGTCAGCCTCCCACCTTCTCCCGCCGTGGCCTGGGTCCCCTCCCCAAAGTCACGGGGACAGCAGCGGACCGATGCCAAGACCTACGGGCGGGGCCTCCCTGGTGGCGCACTGCCCGGCTCCCGTGGTCCACCCTTCATTCCTCCCTGGCCGGCCCAGCCTCGGCAGCCTCAGAGATGCTGCGTTTGCATAAAGTGATTGCCCACGGTGCCTTTTCAAGAGAACACTTCGCGTCTGAAAATTATAGCAACAGAAGAAGGAAAAAGTAAGATTTCCCTATCATCCGCTACCAACCAGGGCTGCTGGTTGGAAAATGGCTCACATTTGGGGTGCAAATCATGCGAAGACCTTAGGAGCCTCTGGGGAAGGCATCTTTGTGGAAAGGAGTAAAAGTACCACCGTCTGGGTTCTCATCAAAAGACTTTGTTTCTACTGGTGAATCAAGAGCCAGAGCCAACGGCACTGAATTGCTGAACTCAGAGTAAGCATTTGGGGGGGGGGGGGGTTGTTGAAGGGGAAGAGAACTACCATTTCGCGTCCCCCTATGACATGCTAGGTGCCCAGGGCTGGCTACGTAATCAGCAAGGCCCATCCAGTGCAAAGTGAAAACGCAGGGTCTCTTGTTCCAACTGGAAGAAGCAAAGCTTTTTACTTTATTCTGCAACCTCTGTCTTGATCTGTTGTGAACTGTTTGCTATTTAAAATCTTTTTTTTTTTTTTTAATTTATTTATCCTGAGAGAGAGAGCACGCAAGCCGGGTAGGGGCAGAGAGAGAACCCCAAGCAGGCTCCGCACTGTCAGCACAGAGCCCGATGCTGGGCTCAAACTCATGAACCATGAGAACATGACCTGAGCCGAAATCAAGAGTCAGACGCTCAACAAACTGAGCCCCCCAGGCGCTCCTGTTTGCTGCTTAATGTCAGGTTCGGGAATGTTTTTGGGGTGCGTGCAGCCCCTCACAGATGCCCACAGCCCCGTCCCACCACCTGCCCCTTTGCATGCCTGGACCCCAGTTCCCAGCAGGAGCAGAGGGTAGGTGCTAGAGGTGGCAAGGGAAGGGAGGGGACAGCCAGGAACCCATCCGAGGAGGCAAGAAGGTGATAGGAGGCAGGACTTTACGTCCCAAGCACAAATTCACATACAATTATTCAGAATTTCAAGATGGCTATGGCAGACCATTCAACTCACTCGGAGAACCTACCCCCCCCCCCCCCCATTTCTGCCAGTCAGAATAGCTGAAGGCTATGACCCTGCTAGCCAACATGGGGTCAGGGCCTTGGCAAAGTTACTCACCTTCCCCGTTTATAAAATGAGGATAGGAAGAGCACTCCTACATCAGGCTCATTTGAGAATCAGATGACCTAATAACGATGGCCAACTCTGAGATAACACTCGCCATGTGCCCCCCACTATTTCATGTGCTTTACAAATATGAACGCTTTCAACCCTCATAACAAGCCAGTAGATGGGTTTGCACTTTACAAAAGAAAAGCCTGAGGGCGCCTGGGTGGCTCAGTCAGTTAAGCATCCGACTCTTAATTTTGGGTCAGATCATGATCCCATAGCTTGTGAGTTCAAGTCCTGCAATGGGCTCTGTGCTGACAGTACAAAGCCTGCTTAGGATTCTCTCTCTCTCTCTCTCTCCCTCCCCAAGCTCGCTCACTCTTGCTCTCTCTCAAAATAAATAAGCTTAAAAAAAAAAAATTAAGGCACAGAGAAGTAAAGCAACTTGCGCATACCCACACAGCTGGTAAGGGGGTAAGTGTCATGGCCAAGATTTGAGCACATCTGCCGAGCTCCAGAGTCTGCCTCTGGGCCAACACCACACAGCTCGGCCCCTAGAAAGCCGTGGACGCTGGTTCTGGCTTCGTTTTGGGTCATCCTCACAATGAGCCAATGAGGTAGGTTTTAGAGGAGAACAGGGAGGTGAAGAAACCTGTCCCAGCAGGACTGGCTCCAGGAAAGAAGAGGATGTGAACTGCAGGAGTGGGGAGAGATAGGGAAGGGGGGCCTCTGACAGCAGGGACCTGCATGGATGCCTTGGACCTGCATGGATGACTAGACCATGGGCTCCAGGAATAAGTGGAAGGTTTGATTTGGAGGGGCATGGGAGAATGGTGGCTGCAGCCCCAGGGTGCTAACGTCCTAGGTTATCAGGGCAGGACAGCTGCTCAAAGATCACTGAATCTGAGTTCTAATTTTATGGTTGGGGAAACCGAGGCTGGAGGAGAGAAATGGCCAGTCTAATGCCCAGAGTCAGGAAGTAGAGTGCTGGGAGCAGATGACCCCCCAGCCAGAGTGCTTGGAAGGTCAATGGAGCGTCCTGAGCGCCTATTAAGGGTCCCAGGTCCATAAACCCCTCCCAACAGGCTCCTGGATGACCCTTGACACCACAGTCCCAGGCACAGCCGAATCCTTATAAAATAAAACTCCTTGCTATCAATAACGCAATTTCTGACTAGGGTCGCTTTCATCGTTTGTAAATTTAGAGGAAAAAACACAAACCCCACTAGCTCAGAAGTCAGACAGACCCAGGTTTGAAAAGGGCTCTACCACTTACTGACTGTGTGATTTTACGCAAATTATTTAACCTTTCTGAGTTTCAGTTACCTCATCAGTAAAATAGCTCTGAAGTGAGATCACTTCATGGCAAACATAGATTTCTGGAACAGATTACATGGAAAGGAAAGGAGGCTACAGACTGTAAAACTTCCCTGCTGTGCACAGCCAGCACATTGTAGGTGCTCAATAAAGGCCATTCTGAATTCACTAGAGGCCAAACCTCCAAGTTCATGGGCCAGACGAGTCTCGGAAGAGATGTCAATTCTAGAACCACCTAAAAGCACCTACCGGACATCTCCATCTAAAGCCCAAGAAGGGAAAATACCACAGGATTTAGAGAGGTCTGAAATAGGACTCGGAGACAAGACTGGGAGGTCCCGGTGATGGGCGGCTGGGAGGGAGGTTGAGGAGGGTAAGTGCGAAAGAACTTGTATTTTTGGAGGTGTTTCTTCTATTTAAGGTGTTGCTAACCCCCTGGTAAAACTCATTTTTGATTCTTGGCAGGAAAACACATTCAGGCTAAGCAGTGAGAAGAGACCCTGGCTGGGAAAGTACTCACCAACTCTCAAGTCTCTCTTGTTTTACTGCAACTGACTTGGGTTGAACAATTCGATTTGAATAATTGCACTTTGAGGATTTCTAGGGGAAGTACCCAGGGTCATCTTCTGACTGGAGATTCTATGACAGGAACTAATTCTGTAAGTCCGGAAGATTCCCCTGGACTGCAATGCATGCGTCCTACAAATACTTTATTGCCCACCCAGTGTGTGCAGATGCTGTGTTAGAGACTGAGGACACGCGGTGAGCAATATGGACACGGCAGAGGGCTTATGAACACCAGGGGAAGCTTGCAAAACAGAATCACACACGGTAATAAGCACCTGGTGGAAGAATGGTAAAATGTGCCCCGGGTGGGTAACTCAACAAAGAGGTGACACTGAGGAGACTGAAGGGTGGAGGGGAGTGTGTGGGTCTTCTGGGGTGGCCAAAGCTCCACAGACTGGGAGGCTTAAAACCATAGAACTTTATTCTGTCGCAGTTCCGGAGGATGAAGGTCTTGAATCGAGGTGTCCATGGGGCCGTGCTCCCTCTGACACCTGAAAGGCAAGGTCCTTCCTGGCCTCCTCTAGCCTTTGTGGTGGGCCAGCAACCTTGCACACCACATGGCTTGCAGAAGCATCCCCACCCATGTCTGCCCCTGCCTTCACACGGCCTTCTCCCCGTCTGCCCATCTCTCTTACAAAGACACCATGACTGGACCGGAGGCCATCTTGATCCAGAATGACTTCATCTAAACTAGATTATGTCCGCACAGACCCTATTTCCAAATAAGGTCACACTCACAGTTGCTGTGGGTCAGGACTCCAATATGTCTTCCTAGAGGACCCAGTTCTATGCAGTACAGAAAACAGCACAGGTAGGTGAGGAGTCAGCAAAGCCACGAGCTGGAGATGAGCTGGAGGGGCAGGAGATGGCCCCTTGGGGGACACAAAGAAGCCACTGTGAAGAGGGGAAAGTGGGTCCAGGAGACGGAGAGAAACCGTGGGGACTTGGCCAGCTCTTCACGCTCTGAGATGGGCACACCTCTTCCAGCTCATGCGCAAGTGGGCGTCGAAGACCTTGACATACAGGCAGGGAATCACGGCCCCTGCATCTCCATTGTCTGAGGTACCACACCAGTGACTGGCAGGCCACCCTGGGGAACTAAGAGTGAGGCAGAAACTTCCTGGCAATGATGTGCTCTCCACTCTGGAAAACCAGAGGCGAAAAGTGCCCCGTTGACTGTACGTCACGGCTTGAGTGCATCTTGGCAGGCAGCCAGGGAAGTCAGAAAGTGTCCTCCTTTGCAAAAAACACGGTACCTCGGTTATATATATAAAATATATTTTGGTCTTTGAGAGATATATATACACACATGAACTTTTTATATATATCTTGATATACATGCTATGTCTATATATGATATACATGCTTGAAACTTTCAGCCATATATAAATATATAAAACACATATATTTTATCATATATATATTTACATATATATATGTATGTGTGTGTATATATATATATATATACATATATATATATATGCATATATGTATATATATATATATATATAAAACCAAAAGGCTTTTGCTTGAAATAGAGGTTTATTTTCTGTGCCGGCTGTCTTTGGTCTAAGGCCATTCATTCATTCCACAAATATTTACAGAGTGCTACCATGTCACAGGTGGGGTTCTCAGCGGGGGCTAAGACAGAAATTCCTGCCCCCCTGGAATTGAATCTCCAGCGAGATAAGGGGCACTAATGGATCAACTCACACAACCGTGAGGCACGGTACAGGTGCCAAGAACAACGGAGAAAAACAAAGGCAGGAAAGAGAAGAAAGAGAGTTGCAGAGTGGTGGTGGGGGCGGGGGGTACAAGGGTGAAAGTGAAATAGGGGCCGGGGGAGGCCTGGCTGAGGTGGTAAGGCCAGAACAAAGGCCCGGAAGAGCTAAGGGAGTGAGCGGTGATGGGGGAGTCCAGCAAGAGCAAGCTGTTGAGGGGAGCTCGAGTGTCTGCAAGAGGGCAGGGGCAGGATGGCAGGTGGGATGAACAGGACAGAAGGAACGAGGGCATGGTCAGGGTAGTGGGGCTGGTTCCCATGGGCCTCCCAGACCATTGCAAGGCCCGTGGCTTTTACTCTGAACAGGATGGGAAGCCTGCGGGGGGGGGGGGGGGTTTGGAGCAGAAAGGTCATGTGCCCCAGCTTGATTTCCAAGGGTGACTCTGGCTGTTGCTGTGAAAACAGATTGTAGAGGGGCAAAGGCAGACGCAGAGACCCGTCAAGGGCTGTCGTACTAATGCAGGCAAGAAATGATGGCGGCTGGGACCCAGGTAGGGGCTTTGGGGTGGTGAGAGGGCATGATATTCTGGGTATGGTTTGCTGATGGTCTGGATAGGATAGGTGAGTGATGGGGAGACCAAGGTTAACTGACTCCAAGGCTGAGCGACTGAAGAGTTGGCGTTGTCATTAACAAGGATGGAGAAGACCACAGAAAGGTGGATATGAAGCCAGGGGAATCAGAAGTCTGAGACGCTGGCGAGACTCTCCAGTCTGGAGAGAGTCTGCCTCTTCAGCCTCAGAAGGAGAAACACAGCATGTTGGTCGGGCCCTTGAGAGGCCTCTCCTGTCAGCCTTGACCTAGGGGCCTCCCGTACATCCTCAATTGCAGAGCGTTCTTGAGAGCATCCTTCCCAGGATGACCTGGGAAGAGCTCACAATTCGGCATCCCCCAGGGGAGTCATTCTCACACTCAGCACCTACTAAGTGCCAGGAGCATGTGATCTGTGAATAAGACCCTACCACATACTTACCACCATCACCATCTGAAAAAAAGAGGAATGTGAGGTACAGAGCGCTAAGTAACCTGTCCATGGTCACACTAGAAGATGGCCTCTGTCTTCACTCTGCACACAGTGATTTCCAGCCAAGGTGGAGGGACTACTACCGGAAGGGCGGGTTTTGTCAAAGCCGGGCTGGTGCTGTGGGGAGGAGACCGGCTGGGGGGGATTTGAGAAGCTCTCTGTTCCTCTTGGCAGCTGTCTTTCCATTCTTACCCCTCCTGTGCCCCTGTGCTTACACTGTTGATCGCAAGGCACCACTCCACCTGCACAGCCCTGAAGTGCAATGTTTCCCCTGGGTTGCAACACCACCTCTGGGCTGTCCTCCATGTTACTCTGAACCCAGGGGCTTCTCCTCTTTCTCCCAGGAGGGGAGGATCTCAGCTGCAGTCCTTGGGCTACAAAGGGTCCAGGCCCGGTACCAGGAGTTAACTGCACCTCCGTGTGCACTCTTGACCCGAAGCCATGGATCCAGTTCCTCATGGGAGGGACAAGATGGGTGGAAGGAAGCAGAGACAAGAGGGCACAGGGATGCCCCCAGGAAGAGAGACTCAGTGGGAACAACTTCAGGCCCAGCTCATGGAAAAGCATCAGGACTCAGGGAGCAGGACAGAATAGGGTTCCAGGCCACTGCGTGGGGCAGACAGAGGCAGCATAGCCTTGTCAGCCCCACAGGAGATGAACTGTCTTGGGGGGTGGCCGGGAGGGGAGAGGAGGCGGGGGTACCAAACACCTGGTCACTGACTGTGGGTCAGAGGAAGACAGAAACTCATGCTGGCAGAGGGCGGTGTTTTCTGAAGTTCATCTCTGCGACAAGGGGTCCGGAATGGGACAGAGTATGGGCGAGTCCTAAAGCTTGTGCTAGGCAGTGTCCAGAAGAAAAATGGCACCATGATTAAAAAACCTGCCTGTCTGGGTTTGAATCCTGGCTGTGCCATTTATTTAGATTCTCAGGCAAGTGAATTAACCTCTTATGCCTCAGTTTCCCCCATCTCTACAAGGGACAAGAACCCCACCTGCCTCGGGGTTGGTAAGTGGCAAGAAATAACTCCGAGCCTGAAGCCCTGACACGGGGCCTGGTTCACACAGTTGGTCCTCCCGGCTAGTGTATCAGAGGACTTTCTGGGCCAGGAGTCAGCAAGACTTTTCCATAAAGGACCAGAGAGTCAGTGTTTTGGGCTTCATCAGCCATATAGTCTCTGTTGTGCATTCTTTTTAAAATTTTCAACCCTTTGGAAATGTAAACACCATTCTCAGTCCAAGGTCCTTACAAAAACCGACCACTGACCAGATCTGGCCTGCAGACTGTAATCTCACATTCCCCGGTATAGATGGAGATTGAGCCTGGAGATCCAGATGTGGCTGGGGCCAGGGTCCTGTTGGCTGGTTTCCTGCACCTTACAGGGCTGGGCTAGGGGCAATGGTGGGAAGAGCCCTGGGCACAGGGGGAACAGCAGACTCAGTGATGAGAAGCTTGGACAGGTGATGCAGAGGAAATGTGGTAGGACCGGGGACACGGGGAGGGCCAGGCAGGGCTGCTGTGTGCTCTCACTCTGAGCTTGGACCTCACCTGTTGGCATCATGGCATCACAGTCTAAGAGACACAGGAAGCCAGAGCCTCTGACGACAGCAGGCAGTGTGACATTCACAAGAGGGGACTGTTTATCCTCCCCAACATTTATGAACCGTTTACCATGTTCCAGGCACTGTTCTAAGCCATGAACAAGACAGAAGTGACCAGGCTCCACGCCTGGAAGTCCTGGCTGACTTCCTGCACCTTTAGTTGCAAGGATGTACTTGTCTCATTGAACCCAGCCTTCATGGGTTCCTGGTCAGTCTCTTCCTTGGGGCGTAGGGACCTGGAAGCCTGTTATTCTGTCTTTGTAGACGGAAAGGAAGAAAAAGATCTGCTGACCATGAAATGGTAACTAGACAATGACCCCGCCTTGCTCAGCTGCCACCATGGACAGGGAGCCCTTAGTAAGTGGTGCCCAGGAAGATCGTTCTCACCACCCCCAAAATCAAAGTTGTAAGAGGCTCCTAACCGTGGGCCCTGACCATCTAAGGGAGCAAAAACATGTAGCAAAAAGCTGTTGACTATCTCTCTCCCAAACTGAGAAATAAAGGACTTATTATGAAAATAGCTGAGTAGTTAACTGTGTTTCAGGTGTTTGATCTCATTTAGTCTTCAGAACAACCTGATGTGGTGAAGTATCATTGTTGCCATTTTACAGATTGGAAAATTGACGCCAAGTGAAGGTAACTAAGGTGTCCAAGGTCCCTCCATTCACAACAATGACAAACCTATGCACTCTGTGCCCCAGACACAGTGACCTTCCTTTGGCTCCCGGCCAGCACTTCATCCCTTGGAACCAAGTAGTAAGTTGCATCTAGCACATTATCCTTATTTTATCTTGACTCTCTTCCTGTGAGGAGGCCTAGACTCATTGCAGGACACGTGGCCAACCTCTAATGAATACACCAGCAATTGACGGGTGGCTTGAGTTTCTTCTTACCCAGAAATGAGAGTAACACCACCTTACCCGTGAGAGCCGCAGGGCATTGAGAAGTCTATTCTCAGCATGCTGGAATAGCGTGGCAGAATTAGGGTGTCAAAGGAAAAACGAAGAACTTCAGAGAGGGCATGAAGAAAATGTATTTGAAGCCGGCTGCTGCTTTTCAACTTGTAACTGCCCACACGCCTGCAATCGGGGGGAAATGAAATCCGTGGTCACCGGCGGACAGGGTGGCCTCAACGTTCAGAGCAGGGGCCACGAGGATTTGCTGTAAAAAGCCAAACGGGATGTAGTTTAGCTTTCGCAAGGCCACAGGTTTCTCTCACAACGATGGAGTTCCATCGCTGCTGTGGGAGATCAGCTCTGGACAACAGGTAATTGAATGGGTGTGGTCGCGTTCCAATAAAACTTTATTTACAACATCAGGCAGTGGGCCAGATTTGGCTTGTGGGCTGTAGCGTGCTGATTCCTGGTTCAGAGCAGACACAGCACTGTGACTATTTCATGCGAGCCGATGATGCGACAGGCACGCCACATACTTTCTCTTTTTTGAGTGGATGTCTTTTCAATAACAGGTGTTTGCTGTGTGCTCACCACAGGCCAGCCGCTGTTCTCGGCATAGGGTTTCAGTGCAGAAAAAGGCAAAACCCTGCTTACGTGATGAAAACCCTGTCTATGCCCCTCCGCAGGAGAAACCATCACCCCAACTTTCCAGAGGAAGGAAAGAAGCCCAGTGGGGACATCCCAGCTTGTGAGGAGCGGGGCTGGGCTGCCAGACCAGATCCCAAACCTCGGGTCTGGCCACAACTCTGTGCCATCCTGCAGTTCGGGACCAAGACCCTGGATTCCAGCCCAGAGGCTGCATCTGCTGAGCGGTCTTCCCGAGCTGAGCTAACGTGTGGCTGTGGGCACCTATTGTGGGCCACTGGCCCAGCTTCCAGAAATGCCCCAAAGCAGAAACGATGGGGTGGAAACCACCAGCCTCTGATAAATGCAAGAGAGGCAGCTCCCTAGGGTACCCCTACACGATGGCCCAGACGTCCCTGAGGACACCGGGGGGGGGGGGGGGCTCTGACGGGGCCCTACCCTCAGCAGCCGCACAGACTGGCCTGGCCAGGGCGGCCGAGGGCCAGGGGACAGAGCTGATGAACACAGCCCTGCTGTCTGAAGGCCCGTCTGCGCAGGGCATGGTGGGAGCCAGCCTGCCGTCTTCTTTTTATGGTTTTATGTGGCTTGGACCCTGAAATAAAAGAGCTCTCTGTGGAAAGGAATGAAGATGGGAAAGGGAGAGAGAGGAGGGATGGACTTTTCTAGAGTTTCCGCTTGGTGCTAGGCACTTGAATTGAACACTTCATCCTCACAGAGGGGTGGGTATGCACCATTGCTCCTGTCTCACAGACCAGGGATTGGGCAAAGTCTTTTTGCAAAGGGCTGGGTAGTAAAAAATTGTGAGTCGTGGGCCATGTGGTGTCTGTCGCACCTACTCGACTGTGCCTTAGAGAGTGCAAGCAAGGTATGCACCCCCTGTCGCCATAGAGACAGTTCATCAAGGAACGAGCATGGCGGGCTGTCAATAAAATTCCATCCGTAGATACTCGGAATTTCCCATAGTTCTCATGTGTTAGGAAATAGCATTCTTCTTTTGAGTTTTTATTTTTCAAATGTAAAAATGAGGGGCGTCTGGGTGGCTCAGTCGGTTAAGCGTCCAACTTCGGCTCAGATCACGATCTCACAGTTTGTGGGTTCAAGCCCCGCGTCGGGCTCTGTGCTGACAGCTCAGAGCCTGGAGCCCCCTTCGGATTCTGTGTCTCCCTCTCTCTCTGCCCCTCCCCAACTCGTGCTGTTTCCCTGTCTCTCATAAATAAAAATTAAAAAAAAAAAAAGTTAAAAATATATAAATTAAATCAAATGTACATGCAAACATGTAAAGTTTTAAATGTAAACAACATTTGAAAACATAACAACCATTTTCAGTTTCTGGGCTGTACAAAAGCAGCAGTGGGTTGGAGGTTGCCCACAGGTCATAGTTTACTGACCTCTGTCCTACATGATGTCACTGCAGTGTGGGAAGATTCAGTTCATGCCTGGATCACATCCTAAAGTGGGTGACTCAGGAGTCTAACCCGGAACCTAGGTTTCCAAGCCACAAATACAGAATTCCTAAGGACAGTACGGATGATAGCAAAAGTCTATCTGTTTTTGACAATTGCAAACAGAACCATAAAGGCATTCATTCATTCATTCGATCAATCATTTATTCACTGATCTTTTTAAATGTTCAGGTCCATGAGGTAGGAGATGTTCACGTCAAGAGCCTCTTTTAAGCCTTATGACAACTCTTAAGAAGGCTGGCGACTTACAATGGTCATTCTGATTTCACAGATGGGAGAACAGAGGTGCAGAGAGAAGCCCACATTCATTCCATTTCCCCAGCTGCCTGAGCCTGGTGGGGGTGAGACCCTTCCTTATGGAGCGTGGCAACAAATAAGTCACATACGTAAAACGAGAAGGCTGAAAAGTGGATTTTTAAGGTTGAAAAATACGCACAATTGTTCCAGATGTGGGGCCAGCGGGTGAAGCTCAGGGAGGGGTCCTTTGAGCCGAGCCGCATTTTAGCCATCAGAGATGGGCACCTAGGCAGCAAGAAACAGAAAGGACAAGGTCCAAAGTGGGGAGATAGAAGGCTGTGTGGAGGGCAAGGGACCTACCAGCTGCACAAAAGGCACCACAGCCCCAGAGGAAGGCCTGAGGCCCCTGCCCAGAAGAAGGGATGAGCTGCAGGGCGCTGGGGACTCCTGGGGGCCATCTGCTCTGCTGTGACAATTCAGGAATGGCCAGAGCCTGAGGCTCTCAGTCTGCAGCCCCCTGGGGGCTGGGAGCAAGGCTGAGCCGCTGAGCCCCTCCCTGCAGCCCCGACAGGTGAGGTGGGGGCGGCCCGAGGCCCAAAGCAGTAGTGGCCACCGCCAGGCTGGAAGGCAGGCACGGGCTCAGCAAGAGGAGAGCTTGTGATATGTTCGCATGGGTTTTCCTATTGAATCATTCAAGTCTCCCAACCTGATGAAAGGTTGTATCTATTTTTAAAGGTTTGTACACATAAACCACGTGCTATGTTCTCTGCCGACAAGGAACTTGAAGCTTGGAGCAGTGATGCCCTGGCTGTTGGAGGACAGGGGCCCTGTTCTTTGCTGCCTCCCGGTCCTCATGGCACCCCCCTCCGGTGTCTGAGAAACACCAGTGAGGGGCAGAGTTAGGAGGGCAGAGGAAGAGATGAAGGAAAAACAAGGGTCTTGAAGGCGCCGTGACCTTATTGCCTCCCTGGGGAGTAACAAATGTCGTGCTTTGGGAGGGAGTGGGTGAGCGGGCCACGTGTGACGTGGGAATAGAGGATCACTCTGAGCGAAGGTCAGGCTTCTCCAAAGTGAGAAACAGCCTAAAAACGAGCGGTTCCCTCGACCACAGTGGCATAGGCCGTGCAGGCTGCCAAGGCGAGCGCCGAACTTGGCCGGGCGTGCGGGGTTGTATGATAATCTCAGCCCTGCCGGGTCACTCCGGAACACCAGGACCACCTTCGTACCAGAAAAACAAACCCCTGACCGCCTGCCAGCCGGAGGAGTAAACAGAGGGGCGACCGCACACCAGGGCCCCGCGAACATTGCTCCTTATCCTGCTGGGATAATAATAACCACAGCAACCAACTCTCAGGAGCACGGACACGTCAGGCTCGCGTGCTCAAAGCTTTAAGTGCGTTATCTCTGAAGTCATCAGCAAAAGTCCCCGAGGAAGGTGGTAAAACCATCCCATTTCAGAGATGGGGAAGATCAGGGTCAGGAACTTACCTTGGATCATCATGCCGTTCGACAGTTGAGCTGGGATAGGAACCCAGGCAACCTGATTCCAGGAGCCGCACCCAAGGTCTCCACGCTGTCGGTAGGCAGCTGGACATGGTGCAGTGGCAACGAGGGTCTCAGAGCCTGGGATTACATGGAGTCAGATCTCAGCTCCCCCACTTCTAGCTGGAGCTGCGTGATTTTGGATTAACTCAGCTCAGTGTTGTCTCATGGGTAAAATGTGGAACCTCGGGTCCTAGGATGGGAATAAGGATGGGGGGTGCAGGGTATAAGCAAAGCGGCTGCCTCCATAATGTGTCTGGTCTCATGGGGCCCACAGCCTCTGCCAGAGTAGAGCATGGGTCCTCCCTGAACCTCAGGCTTCTCTTCAGCTCCCATACAGGGTCACCCTCCCCTCCCGGGGTGTCCGCTCCATTCAGTAAACTCTCAAATAGGGTAGAAAAGCCTAACAAGTTACCCAAAGGCTACCAAAGAAACACATTCTCTGACCACCCAGCCTCAGGCTTCCCTCCCTCCCATCAAAGTCAGCCTTTAACTTCCCACCCTCCTCCATCCAGGGGGACAACAAGGGAAATGGAAAAGGGGGGAAAGCCATCTGAGTCTTGGAGATGGCTAGTTCCGTAAATACAGAATTACCAAACTGTAGAAAGAATTTTCTTTCTTGCCTGAAAATCTCTCTTCGCTACTCCAGAAACCTCCAGGCCCCCCTCTCCCAGGAAGGGGCGTGGGCGATGGAGGTCCCTGCATGGAGCTCCATTTTAACATCATTGTTTTTCTTTGTCATCCTGAGTGTTGTACCATAGGTATTCTAAAAGCTTTATTCTTAGAGCGCCTGGAATCTGGCTTCAGCTCAGGTCATGAACTCATGATCAGTGTGTTCAAGTCCCGCATTGGGCTCTGCACTGGCAGTGTGCAGCCTGCTTGGGATTCCCTCTCTCCCCCCTCACTCTCTGCCCCTCTCCCAGTCATGCTGTCTCTGTCTCTATCAAAATAAATAAAAATAAACTAAAAAAAAAAAAAAGCATTATTCTCCAAAGGCACCCAGATCTTCTCCAGTTTGTAAAAAAGGGTCCAGTGTGGGCATGTGCACACACACACACACACACACACACACACACACGTTTCAAAGCTCTCTCTTTGGTCCTGGCATGCCAGGCTCTCTGAACTCACAAGTTCCCTGCCCTTCGTGAAATTATTTCCTAAATAGGTTTACAGATAGGACCATGTTTCCTTCATCTTTTACCTTCCCTGTGGAAATTCTCATTTATCTGCGAATCTGTGTCACTGAGAAAGAGAGAGGGAGAAGGTAGGCAGGAATGACTATACTCTGATAGGTATGCACTTTTCCAGCTACGGCCCCCACCCTGCTTGGCAAGGTTGCCCGTTAATTATCTGCATCCCTAGCACCCTGCAGATTCTGGGAGGGCAGGGGCAATGTTGAGTCCTTTATCCCGCAGCCTAGCACAGCAACTATGAAGATCAAGTCTCGGACGGATGTTTGCTGAACGCGTGCAGGGAAGAGAGAGGCCGTGGGAGAGAGATTTGCAAGGGCGCACGGTTGCTCCGCTCCCTTCCATGGGTTGATTCCCCGCCCTTGAGCAAATCTCTAGCCATCTTCTCCTGACCTCAGAGGTCCCTCTGGGGCTCTCAGCCTTTTCTTCTTAGCCGGGCCACTTGGAGAACAAGCTGGTACCGTGTGTCTGCCTCCCAGGGTCAGAGCCTGGCTGTGCCTTCTCAGCTCTTTGGACGTATGCCCTTGTCCTTCCCCCGGGAGCATTGCAGAGTGAACACCGTCCACTCCCGGGCACAGTCCCGGGCCTTCACAAATAACGTCTATGGAGCAGTCCATCCAAACCTGTAGAGGACACATCCTCTCAAGTGCACACACAGCATTATCTACGACAGACCCTATGCTCGGCCATAAAATAGGTCTCTATACATTTCAACGGACTGAAGTCACCCATCACTCAGAGAGGACAACGGGAATAAATCAGAAGTCAGCATGAGTCGATACAAGGAAAATCCCCCAAATGTTTGAGGAGACTCTCCCAGTGCTTGACACGGGGCAGGTCCTGAATAATTTCTGCCCTGATATCTTTCTCCACCACAGTCTCAATCCCTGTGCTGCCATGAACAGGGGAGGCCAACGTCATGGCTGCCGTCCCAAGCATGGCACTGGCTGCCTGGTCTGCACAATGAGCTGGGACTGCGATTCAACCTGGGAGCACCCTCTGAGCCCCTCGGCTTTTTCCAGATCCATCTTCAAACAGGAAGATCTCTGCCTTGCTGCCAAATGGAGTGCACCCACCCACCCCTGCCCCGCTTTCTCCTCTGAGGAGCCCAGTCTTCTCAAGGGCCTGCCCAGCATCAGACCCCTGGATGACGGATCTCGCTCTATTCATTCAGAATACTCTATGGCAAACAAAATGAAGTTCATTTTGTTCAGGGACTTTAACTGACACTCCTTGAGGAAAACATGAAAACAACGTATCAGAAATGCCTGCTTTCTTTTGCCTGCATTTTAGGGGGTGCCTGTGAGATTGGCAATACAGTCAACCAGAAAGGAACTCAACCAGCCAAGTCATTCGAGGTACATGATGACAGTGGCCATGACATCCTTGGATTGGAGAATGAAGTGGGATCTGAATTTCACTTAGGGGTTTGCTTGAGCTTTTGAAGGCCAATAACCTGATCCATGTTTTTAGCTCATTATATAAATGGGCAATTATGGTGCTGATAATCCACCACCCTCGAGAGCCAGAAGGTGAGGGAAGCTGTTATTGGCAGGAATGGGCAGTATGTAAACATTTCGCCAAGACAAAGCTGGTTGGAGTATTCTTCTCCTGTAAGTCAGGATCAAGGTCTCCTAGATAGGAAGGAGTGGGAAATTAAGACCTTAATTAAAGCACACCCCAAGGGGCTGGTTGGTGACAAAACCTCCTCAGAACTCCGTCCACATGAGGTTTCCAATGGGGTCCCATCCAGAGAGCAGGTTTCAGAGGCAAGAGTCGAGTCTGGTTTTGTCATCTTCTAGCTGTGGGGCCAGGGGGACGTGGTTTTACCTCAGCTTCCTCATCTGTACAGTGGGGACGAGAGTGAAAGAACCTACCTCAGAAGGTGGTTGTGAGGACGAGATGCGATGATGCACAAAGACACTGAGCAAGAACCTCACATGTAATAACAGACAGTCTAGGGCCCTTATCGTGTGATCTAAGCAAATGCACTTCATGTTCAGGACAACCTTGAGAAGTAAGTTATCACCTTTCATAGATACAAAAATTAAAGCCCAGGAAAGCAAAGAAACTTGTCCAAGGACCCAGGTCGTAAGCTGTAGAGGGGGGATCCAGACTCAGGGCTAACCCTAGAGCCTCAGGAAACTTCCAGTCTAAGAGGAGCGACCCACAGAAACCCCACCAGCACCTCCAGGAGGTCCAGCCAAACTGCCCCAGGGGCAAGGTGCCGGACTCACCCCGTAGGAACAAGGGTTAAGATGCCTCATGTCAGCTGGACCTTGGAAGACATTTTGGTTTTCACCAAGGAGAAGAGGAGGTAAGAAGAACCTGATCGGTGGAAAACTCACATTAGCAAAAGAAAGAAGGTACAGGAAAGGAATTCTCTGTTAAGTGAGACCGGAAAGACAGCCGTGCTGAGCACTGGGCTGGCTGGAGTCTCATGTGAACTCACGTCTGCATTCTTGGAAACATCCTGATCGGCAGAGCGATGTGGTTAAGAGCACAAGCTCCGTGTCTGATGGATTGCTGACCTACGAACGCCGTGTGACTTTGAGCAAGAGACTTAACCTCTCTGGTCCTGAAGGGGGCTCACCTTGCAAATGAAGGTTGTACTGGCCAAATGGGGCATTCCGTATGAAGGCTAAGCCTCAAGCCTGCTAGCATGCTGACGCTTCTTAACGTGTCTGCTCCCTTAGATGTAGTCTGAGTCCCCTCTGCCATCATTCTGCCCCCTGCCCAGACCTCTTTTGCTCACTGGATGGCATCTCACAAGGCACTACTAGTTCATGTCCAAAAAAAAAAAAAAAAAAGACTCAAAACCTGAAGAGAAATAAATGGGGCTCAGTCTGTTACTATTACTAGAGATGAGCCTTCCACTAACAAACCAGCCAAAACTGGGGATCTGACTTCATCCCTCATGCAAAATATGTTTTTGCTGAATAACTGTGACCGACAGCATTTGAACTCTCCCATTTGAGAGCAGCCTGGGGAAGACAGTTTGTGCCTGGACCACAAGGGTACCTCTACTGGTCTTTGTGTTTTCTCATGTCAAACAGAATGACAGGTTGGAGACCTTCCAAAGAAGGCACATTCGCTTCAAGCTTTCCTCTCATTCCGCCCAAACTCAAACTTGGGATCTAATTCTGTGCCTGGGCTTACCTAGGCGTGTGTGATTCTTGGAACCAAAGATCCCCAGACACACATCTTTTCAAATTTCACCTTCCCCAAATATGGATGCATCCGACAAGTGGCGCTCAGTCGTTTAATTGAAGGCATTTCTTCCTCTCTTAATGACACGTAAATTAACAGGGAGTCGTGCAACTGGTAGCATCTCAGATTTGAGGAAATACAGATTGTGCTGGGAACCAGACTAGGTTTGCAACAAAACCTGCTTCTGCTCTACAACAACCACATGAATGTAGATGGTCACCCCTAACTTACACGTGAGAAATCGGACGGCCAGGGTGTTAAAGAAACATTCGCTCATAGTGCTTAGTACGGAGGGGAGAGAGTGCGGGCGGGGTTCTGTTGAGTTCCAATTATCGCACAACTGGGCATCAGAAAACAACAATCGCTTTAGGCCGCTCATGAGTTTCTGGTCAGGAATTTGGGAAGGGCTGGGCTGGGCAGACGCGACGTGGGGTTTCCCCTGCCCTTGTAGTCAGATGTCAGCCGGGCTGTGGTCGGTCATCTGAAAGTGCAAAAGGTCTAAACATCCAAAATGGCAGTTTGTGTGGCTGTCGGCCAGCGCTGGGGGCTGAGAGCTCAGCTGAGACCACACCCCAGAGCACCAGCACTTGGACTCTTCAGCACCCCGGCCTCGGTGCTTCCCGCGGAGCGAGTAAGGAGATCTCCTTTGCGGCTCCGCTGCCTGGAGCCATCACAGGACTCCAGGAAAGGACGTAGATCCTGCCTTTCAATGGGGAGAATGTCAAGAAACGGGGCCCCTTTGTTTTCGAACCATCACAGATGAGAACCATCGCCTGACTGGTACAGACACCAAAACGTGACACTGCTTGTCTGGTGCCCAGAAGCACAAGAAGGGAACGGGAGCCAGATGCGAGGGAGAGGATGTTAAGACAAATGCGGGTGGAGTCATCCAGTCACCTGCGCGTCCAGGGGGGTTCCCTTGGGGACGTTAAACACCGACCCAGTGTTGTTCCCGCTGTTCGGAACCTGTCTGTAGCTTTCCGAGAAGCAGGTGCAGAGCCAGCTTCGCGAGTTTGCAAGAGACATCAGGCTTAGGACTTTGTCAGATATACCTTGTTTCCACCCCCAAAAGGCCTTACCTAGTTTAATATTTACTGAGCACCAGCTGCAGAATATTCTGGGGTCTGGGAATATCTGAATGAACAAAACAACATACTTTCCTCACAGGGCTTGTATTCTGCTGGGAGATGCAAAAAGTCACCAAATCTGTAACAATGTCAGCAAGACACGAGACCTATGGAGAATGACAGGAAGTGGGGCCTGGGGGATACTGTAGTGGGGGAGGATGGTCAGAGACGGTCTCTCTGAGAGTTGACATCTGAAGGGAGATCTGAATGCAGTGAGGAAATCCAGGGGAAAGAATGTTCCAGAAAAGGGGACCATTCCGTGCTAAGGCCCTGAGGCCAGCCTGCGCTTAGATATGTTTGGTCTGTAGCAAAAAGACCAGTGCGGAGAGTGGAGTGAGCAAGGAGAAAAGGAAGAAAGCGAGGGCCTAGGGTCCACGCAGGGAGGGCCGTATAGGGCACAAGAGGAATTCTGGATTTTATTCTAGGTGGGGTGGGACTCCACCGAAGGGTTTTGAGCAGGTGAGTCCCAGGATTTGGGTTACATTTTGAAAAGATCTCCCTGGCTGCTGAGAGAGGAAGGAGGGGAGGGTAGAAGCCAGGCCCGTTTGGAGGCAGGCTACTGCAGTGGTCCAGGCAGAAGGGGGAGGCAGCCTGGTCTGTAAAGTCACCGGTAGAGGGGATGAGAAGGGGTGAAATGGACACACACTTTGAAGGAAGATATCACCGGATTTGCTAATGGGCACATCTACCAGTTGATTTTTTAACCTCACAAAAGATGTTTCCAACAAACGTTCAGCCCTTGCCCAAATTCAACCCTGATCTCTACAGAGGGTGGCAATGTGTGTGGTGGAAAGTGGGAGAGACCCAGGGCAAGCCAGCTCCCTCACACGCCGGGCAGGGGTCTGTCTCATCCTCGTGGCAGAGAAGGAAGGGCCTGGAAAGCAGGCATCGCCCCTTCCTTTCCACCTCGCCCGCCCTGCCCCTGCAAGAAAGATATGAGGTTCAAAAGAATAAGCCACTGGCTGGAAAGACCCTTTCAAAAAGGAGTTTGAGAAAGTCTAGAGACTTCTAAAAGGGCTGTCGGGGAGATCACACCCATTTGCATGGGCAAGTTTGGGTATTTTGGTCATTCGCTTCATGACACGACTTTGTGGCCACAGCCTCTCCTCCTGCACAAGTCAGTTCTCTAAGGGGCCTTTTCTGTCAAAAAGAAACCACCGCTGGGGCTGCTTTGAGACAGACTTTAGGGGGAGTTTCATGCTCCATGAGACTCAGTGGTGAAAGGGTCAAGAGTCTGTTTCAACACAAGTGGCCAGATGATTAGATCAAGATCCAAACCCAGGCCTATAATAATGGTTTCCTTTCTTTTCTTTTTTTTTTTTCCTCTTCTCTTCTTTTCTTTTTTCTTCTCTTCCTTTCTTTTTTCTTTTGGATAAACAGGTACACAGACACTATGGGTCAGGCAGTGTTCTAATCATTGTATAAAATATTTAGTTACGTGAGGTTAAGAACGACCATCATCCTTCATTCAATACTCACCACACCTTTGCTGAGCATTTTGCAGACGAGGCCAGTGAGTCACAGAAGAGCTAAATGACTTGCCCAGGCCCTATACCTAGTAACGGTGGAGCCGAGATTGGAACCTGGGACTTCTGGCTCTGGAATTTGGGCTCTTAACCACCGTACTAGCCCAACACAGCCCGACACTGGCTGTGCTTTGGCGGAAGTCTGTGTATCCATTCGAAACGTTTTCCGCTGCAAATGAAAGACAACTTGGAGTGACGTAAAGAAGCGGCCATTGTTTCAATAACAGAAAGTCTGGATGTAGACTCCTGTCTTGGGCTGGTGGAACAGCTCAACCGTGCTATCAAAGATCCAGACTTTTTCTTATCTGCTCTGGCATTTCATTCTGTTGACTTGTCTCCTCATGCTTGCAAGATGGCTGCTACACCTCCAGGTATCTTACCCTAGATCCAGGCAGGAGAAAAAGATAAGAATGAGCCTCCTTTGTGGGACACTTTGTCTTTTTAGTTGGAAAGTTGCCCGCTCCCTAGCACATTTCCTCTCACGAAATTAGACTTGGCCGCCATTTCTATATCTGGTTTATACCAATTTTGATTCATCTCATCCAGCTGGGATTGGAAACCATCTTCCCTGAGGCCTGGGCCCTCTTCCATACCACCTCCACATATCACAGTTCTATGCGGTGGGGAGGCAATGGCTATTGAGGAGAAAACGCATTCCATTTGCCACAGTGGGTTTTCCTCTCCCCCTTCCACATGGGCACATGGCAGCTCAAAGTCGCAAAGTCTAGACTACGTGACTAGTGAAATGGTAGACCCAGAATATTAACCTCGATCCGGCGGACTAAGTCACCAGCTCTTAACTATGGTGTAGTACGTTGTTGAGTGGAGTCAAGAACGGATGGGCACACATTTGGCTTTATCACTAATAGCTGTGGAAGCTTGGGAAACTTAGCCAGCCTCCCTAAGCCGCGAACTTCTTATCTCTAAGAAGCTGCCATTGTGGTTAGCAATGGTACCTAACCAGAGGGTGGCTATGAGGGTAAATGAATTAATGTATGTAAAGAACCTGACAACACTAAGCCATCGATAATTCCTGGCTGTTATCCGTGTTGTCCCTTATTATTGTTGTTGCTATCTTAATGCCATGAGACTTTGTAGACACAACGCACTTGTCCTTGAATGAAATACCACTTGGGGCATCCCTGGCTGACGTGGTGGTACTGACTAGTGGGTGGACTTGAAAGTAAGGAGAAGGTGTTCACTGTAACACTGAGTGTGGTTTCAAAGCCCTGATGTTTGCCTTGCTTGAATTTAGTGATCCAGGTCCTGGCCACTCAAAATACAGGTCCACCATCTACAAAGCACAACAGTTGTTCTCAGGACATGCAGAGGCCCAGAGGTCTTCAAAGTTCCTTTCACCAATACAACGGGAGGATGCTAACCAGAAGGAGAAGCTAATAACTCCCAACCCAGGGGCTATTTAGAGGATTAACTGTGTTAGTGGCATTATAACTAAAAGTGCTGAATAAATGTGAAAAAATAAAGCTTTGGCAATTTCTTACAAGGCAACAATAGTCTTACCATGGGATGCAGTGATCATGTTCCTGGGAGATCTACCCAAATGAGTTGAAACTTATGCCCTCTCAAAACCCTGCACACAACAGGACACCTGGGTGGCTCAGATGGTTAGGTGTCTGACTTCGGCCTAGGTCATGATCTCCCCATTCCTGAGTTCAAGCCCCGCGTCGGGCTCTGTGCTGACAGCTCAGAGCCTGGAGCCTGTTTCAGATTCTGTGTCTCCCTCTCTCTCTCTCTGCCCTGCCTCTCTTTAATAAATAAATAACGTTAAAATAAAATTTAAAAAAGAAGAAAGAACGAAGAAACCTGCACACAAATGTGTATACCGGCTTCACTTCTAATTGCTAAAACTTGGAAGCAACCAAGGTGCCCTTTAGGAGGTAAACAGATACAAAAACTGTGCTACATCCAGACAAAGGAAATTATTCAGCACTAAAAAGAAATGAAGCATCAAGCCACATAAAGACATGGAGGGGACTTAAATGCATATTTACTGAGTGAAAAACGCCTAACAGAAAAGGCTACATACTGTATGAGTGAAACCATATGATATTCTGGAAAAGGCCAAACTACGGAGGCAGTTAAAGATCAGTGAGGCTGCCAGGGGTTTGGGAGGAAGGAGGGACAGATGGACAGGTGGAGCACAGAGGATTTTTAGGATGGCACAACTCTTCTGCACGACAATGTCATGGTGGGTACGTGACATTTTGCATTGGTCAAAAATCCACAGAACCATGCAACGGAAGGAGTGGACCCTGAATATAAAGTATGGCCTTTCATTCATCATAATGTATTAACATTGGGTCATAAGTTGTAGCGAATGTACCACATGAACGCAAGATGTTAACAATATGGTGGGGGCAGGGGGCTGGTATATAGGAACGCTCTACTTTCTACTCGATTTTTTATAAACCTAAAATTTCTCTCAAAAATAGTCTATTGGGGGGGCGCCTGGGTGGCGCAGTCGGTTAAGTGTCCAACTTCAGCCATGTCACGATCTCACGGTCCGTGAGTTCGAGCCCTGCGTCAGGCTCTGGGCTGATGGCTCAGAGCCTGGAGCCTGTTTCCGATTCTGTGTCTCCCTCTTTCTCTGCCCCTCCCCTGTTCATGCTCTGTCTCTCTCTGTCCCAAAAAAAAAATAAACGTTGAAAAAAAAAATTTTTTTTTTTAAATAAAAAAAAATAGTCTATTGGGGCGCCTGGGTGGCTTAGTCGGTTGAGCATCTGACTTCAGCTCAGTTCACGACATCATAGTTCATGGGTTCAAGCCCTGGGTCGGGCTCTGCGCGAACAGCTTAGAGCCTGGAGCCTGCTTTGGATTCTGTGTCTTTCTCTCTCTGTCCCTCCCCTGCTTGTGCTCATTCTCTCTCTCTCTCTCTCACAAAAATAAAAAAATAATAAAAAACGTTTAAAAAATATTAAAAAAAAATAATAAAGTCTATTGGGGCACCTGGCTGTCTCAGTCAGAAGAGCACACAACTCTTGGTCTTAGGGTGGTGAGTGCGAGCCTAAGGGATTACTTAGTATAGGGATTACTCAAATAAATAAAACTTAGTAAGTTTATTAATGAATGAATGAATGAATGAATTTTTTATTAGTTTCTTTATTTTTGAGAAGCAGAGAGAGACAGCGCGTGAGTGGTGGAGAGGCAGAGAGAGAGAGGGAGACACAGAATCCGAAGCAGGCTCCAGGCCCCGAGCTGTCAGCACAGAGCCCGATGCGGGGCCCGAACGCAAGAACAGTGAATTCGGGACCTGAGCTGAAGTCCGATGCTCAACGAACTGAGCCACCCAGGCGCTCCAGTAAGTCTATTAATTTAAATATCTGTATCTATATTGCTAGGCAGATAGATAAAGTTTAACAACTTTCATATCTTTTGATCCAAGGATTCCACTTCTGAGATTCTCTTGAGATACAGGACATACTAGAAGGAAAACTTCATTTACAGAAGAGAAAAGAGTAAGCAGCCTGAAGTTGCTCCCCGGCACCCACATGGATAAAAGCAAATTAAAAAACGGTAGTTGAAAGTGTTCGGAAGTAACACAGACAATGCTTGCAGAAAAATGCCCATGGGGAAAAAAGTAAGAGCTTCCTAAGATAACCATGGGGAAAACTTTGTATAAAACAACACAAATGGTTTCCAGCACCTTGATAATGCAATTGTTCTCACACTATCTGGGGCCATGAGATTATGGATAGCTTTTTTCCTTCTTTTTCCAATTTCTTCTAATATTTTACATATGTACATTTATTTAAATATATTTAAAGGTCTATGAATCGTTTAGCAAGGGGAGAAATGACAAGAGCTGGTCGGTGTTCTTAGTACTTGGATAAATTGTAAGTCATTTGGGTAACTCACTGAAAGTCACATTGCTACACAGCTGGGGTTGCAGACATTCGTCCAAAGCACTTGCCATCTGAAGCTGGGGCTTAGTCAAAAAGATACTATTTAGAGACAGTATAGTCACCCTGGGATGCCGAGCACATAAAGATATGTGGGAAACAGAAATTCAGATGCGGAGCATACAAAGATATATGGGAAGCAGAAATTCAGAGACCAAGAGAGAAGGTTAAGAATCTTACTCACTCACTCACCCACACAGCAAGCCTTTATTTACTGTTTACTAGAAGCCAGGCACGGGGTCGGGAGGAGGCACTTCTAAATAAAATCAAACCTCGGACCTTCACTTAAGAACTTCTGGTCCAGTCTCCCCAGAATCCCATATTTCCACACTAAATACCTTTAAATGGTGGAAAAGCCCACTAACTGTATAAAAACCAGCATAAACTGGGACTCAGCATGTGGTTCCCCTAAGCTGTCTCAACACACTGCCTCTCGGGAGGGCAGGAACCAGCCCTACAACCTGCAAGATAATTACCTCCCCATGCTTCTTCACTTACGCTGACTTTTATTTTTAATGTTTATTTATTTATTTTGAGGGAGAGAGAGAGAGAGAGAGAGAGTGAGTGAGTGAGAGAGAGAGCAGGGGAGGGGCAGAGAGAGAGAGAGAGAGGGAGGGAGGAGAGAAAGAATCCCAAACAGGTTCCACTCTGCCAGCGCATCGCCCGACATGGGGCTCGAACCCACGAACCGTGAGATCATGACCTGAGCCAAGATCAAGAGTCGGATGTTCAACCGTCTGAGCCACCCAGGCACCCCCCACTTAAGCTGACTTTTTAGGGTCAGGAAACTTACTTCTGATTGTACCTCCCACCCCAGCCCCACAACATCAAGCATTTCAGATCAAGTATCTGTGAATCATAGGTCAGGTTGAGTCATTCTTAAAATTTCCAGGCTGTGAATTAAAACTATATTGATCACTTGGCAGTGGATCAAACAGACAAGAGACAATGTGACTTGCTCTGCAGGTATCTGTAACAATGCAAAGCGGATTTGCAAGTATTGTATTGAAATGGAGGTGGGGGTGGGACGGGTGGACAACTTTGCAGGGAGTGAGGGCTGGTAAATGGATGGGGCCCTCAGTTCCTTTACCCTCTGGTTTCAGATAAGTATCACGTTGATGGCTGTCTCTCCATTCACCGCGCTGCCTTTTTGTTTCATTTTGGTTAATGTGAACTACATTTATGGTAGGCTTTTGGCAACTGCTACAGATTCAGAGCCTATAAAATGGTTTTCCAGGGAAAAGGGAAGGGAGGGCTTGAGCACCTCCTACGGGGTTTCATTCCGTCTCTTAGATGGGGCAGGGCTTGGCGGCTGGGTGGCGTCCGACTTCGGCTCCGGTCATGATCTTGCGGGCTCGTGGGTTCAAACCCCGCCTCGGGCTGTGTGCTGACAGCTCAGAGTCTGGAGCCTGCTTTGGATGCTGCATCTCCCTCTCTCTTGGCCCCTCCCCCGCTCATGTTCTCTCTCTCGATCTCACTCAAAAATAAACACTAAAAAAAATTTTTTAAAAGGCAGAGCAGGGTAGGAAGGGGAGGCTGCTCAAGTTCCCTGCCCCAGAAGCTCTCGGGGGAAGAGTCCCCCAGACTGGCACCAGCCTACACACAAGGGACAATCAGAAACAGCAGCTCACAGAGGGTGGAAAACAGCAGGAAAGCTGACCCCCACAGAGACCTTGCGGGGCCAGGGCACCCACACGGTTTTACACCCTCTTACCACGACCTTTCCCCTGCACTACCACACTGCCTCCAGGCCCGTGTGTAATGCCAAAACAAGGGGCCAGAATCGTCACCCCGTGTGGGAAAGCCTGGCTGGGACCACCAGGGAAACCCACCTGCGTGTGAGTCAGACCCTCGTGTCCTGCGTCTCGAAGCAGGGGTACACGTCAACGCAAGCTTCAGGGCCCAGGCGGGAAACTCTACGTCTGAATCATGACCGCACAGAACCTTCTCTGGGCCTCCCTTGGAACCCACTGAGGGTCTTTACCGGGAGCGAGGGCGGCTGCACAAGTCTCATGTGAAAAGGTGATCTGAGGGGTTTTGGTGGTCTTTTTGGTCAGTTCACAAGATGAACTAGGTGCAGGTGACGCAGCTCAGAAACGCCAGAGAAACACGAGCGGGTGTGGTTTTTAACTTTCTTTTTTGGTGGCTATTTGGCTAATTTGAAGTCATAGTATTAACAGATGGAAACCCAGAGAAGGTTAGTGACTTGTCTAAGAACTAGACAAGCCTGGAGGGACAGCTCGGGGGCCCACAGCCTCCTTCCCCAACCCCACGCTGCCTTGCTTAGAACCAAAAGATCACACAAAGCAAAGGGGACAAGAGTATCCATTTTAATTGGATCATCAAGTAATAGGAAAGAAGAGTAAGATCCAAAGGCAGGACATTATGGACTTTGTGACTTATACTCAGCTAAAAGCTCTGGGCTAAATCTCTCTTTAAAATTTTGTAAATCTATTTCAATTAAAATATAACAAAGTATATTTAATCACTTGAAACTTCAAACGTTATTTTAAAGTATTAAAAAAATTTTTTTTAATGTTTATTTATTTATGAGAGACAGAGAGAGACAGAGCATGAGCAGGAGAGGGGCAGAGAGAGAGGGAGACACAGAGTCCAAAGCAGGCTCCAGGCTCTGAGCCCGACACGGGGCTGAAACTCACAAACCGTGAGATCATGATCTGAGCCGAAGCCGGATGCTTAACTGACTGAGCCACCCAGGAGCCCCTCCAGTGTATTTTAAAATTGCCTCTTCCCCATCTTGACACACAGTGAAGAGTAAGCTAATATGTTCTACATAGGAATCCTGGGGCAGTGTGTGTGTAAGCCCTATAAATCACAGTCTAATAGCTGAGAAAGGCTCACTGAGCCCATTGTGCAGATGAGAAAAAACAGGTCCAAGGAGAGGCAATGGCCTGCCCAAGGAAATTCAGTGGGCCACCATCACAGCCAACACTGTATCTCACATCACTCGCTACAGAGACCTGTGCAACTCCCCACGGCCCGTGCACTTCCCTAGCTTCTGCAGACAAGGGAATTCGGATCCCTCTGGCAATCCTTAGCATTTCACATGATTCCGTCTACTGGTCTGGCATAATCTGCAAGGCAGCTGGCTGATTTTCATGAAATGTGTTGTAGCTACCAAAAGATATAGCAGTGGGCACGGTTAGTTTTTCAACATGTACATAAGGGATCCCAAACTGTAGCGCTCATGAAAGCAGATGACGAATTTATTTATTTGGGGTGCCTGGGTGGCTCAGTCGGTTACGCGTCTGACTTTGGTTCAGGTCATGATCTTGCGGTTTGTGAGTTTGAGCCCCGCATCGGGCTCTGTGCTGACAGCTCAGAGCCTGGAGCCTGCTTGGGATTCTGTGTCTCCCTCTCTCTCTGCCCCTCCCCCACTCACGCTCTGTCTCTTTCTCTCTCTCTCTCTCTCTGTCAAAAATAAATAAAACATTTAAAAAAGGAAAAAAAAGAATTTATTTATTTGATGCAAATAAAAGGTATATCCATACGATGTAATAAAACTGGGTGGCAGTTACAAAGAATAAGGCAGCTGCCATGGATAGCACTCTTGGGTATATTGAGGAGTGGGAAAAGGCAAGTGACTGGTTTATCAAGGGCTACAAAAACAGTTATGTGTGTGCACATGCACATAAATACATTAGAAATGTCTACAAGCATGTGCCCCCAAGAAACAACCCAAGTGGAGTTGATAAAGAAATAAGGATAGGGACCCAGTGATTAAAAAGAACTTTAGTTTTATTTGAAAAGCTTTTTTTTTCCAAGGTGATAACATTCATTTACTCTTTGTGTAATAAATGACTGACTTTTTACAAAAAGAGAAAAATAGGGCTTTATTCATGTACCTACATACCCAACCTGCTACTTGAGCACCTGCCACTCCCGGGTGAGAGGAAAGATTGTCTGCTTGGTTCATGTCATGAGGCAGGTGACAGGTGCTGTGGGGACGGAAGGAAACAGTACAGGGATTTCTGTGTTCCAGGGGAGATTCAGAGGCTGAAACAGAGTCCTCGGCAAAATTCTGTCAAGGCCTGCCATCTTGAACACAGTGATGATGACAATGGTTTCCAAATGGGCAAAACTTTGGCAATTTCAAAGGAATTTCAATCGTTTTTGACTTTAGTCAGAGTTCACAACGGAATATGTGACAGCACAAAAGACAGTCTGTGGTTCCCAAAATTTCACCCCCACAGAGGGAGATGGTTTCGGTGCTTTTTAAAGGCACCGACTCTTTGGCTGTTTTTATCGGTACATATGGCTTACTCTGCTAGGCTAGAAATGGCCTCCGCCAAAATTGCTGTTTTGATTTGGATTTCCAAAAATAACTCACGAAAAGCCTATCGTATGAGGAAGATGGTCACACCCAACTCTGGGGAGGAAAAGGAAGAGCATTTGATTTGAATCACTTAAGAGCAGAAACTGAGAGCATGTATCTCCTTGTAGCAACTACTACATAATTATCCATTCTACTGGAATCCTTTCAAAACCAAGGCGGTTCAACAAGAAGTTTAATGGAAAATAAAATTTCAGGACCAACTATTCGGTCAAAGCCACGTTAAATGAAGACAGCTCAGCAGTGACCAAATCCTGTTCACGTATCACGTGTGACAGGTGAGGGGTGGGAGGGGGTGGGTGTTCTCCTACATGGGGGAAACGTGGCAATGTGCTAGGCTCCTCTGTCCAGTTCAATGTGTCCTCTAGTCACTGGGCACAGGGATTCAATTCTCTCTGGGTCAGTGTTACTACTGGGCCTCTCCCCTCTATCAAGTGTTTTCTGGTCTTCCTAAGAGAAGAAGCTAGGGTTAAAAATGCCAGAGATAAAGACAGAGCGAGAAGAGAAGAGGACCCTTACCATCCAACCTGTTCATGAGCGCAAAGACAGGTCCCATTCCAGACACAGGCTCGTGGAGGACAGCAGTGATGGAAAATGGTCTTTACCACTTGGGACGCTCCTCTGTGTCACTTAGCTGTGTAACCTCTGCTGGGTTACTTAACATCTCTGAGTAGCAGTTCTCTCACCTAAAAAAAAAAAAAATCATATATATATAATATATATTATATTATATTATATTATATTATATTATATTATATATATTATATATTATATATTATATATTATATATTATATATTATATATTATACATATAATATAATATATATACATACACACACGGACACCTGGGTGGCTCAGTCAGTTGAGCGTTTGACTTCCACTCAGGTCATGATCTCACAGTTTGCGAATTCGAGCCCTGCATCGGGCTCACTGCTGTCAGCACGAAGCCCATTTCGGATCCTCTGTCCCCTTCTCTCTGCCCCTTCCCACTCGTGCTTTCTCTCTCAAAGATAAATAAAACTATGGTGTATGTGTGTGGGTCAGCCTTACCAGCAGCACTTGGGAGCTCACCATTAGTGCAGTAGAGCTCCGCCCCACACAGATTAACTTGAAAGAGAATCTGCATTTAACAAGGGTTCCTGGAGATTTGCTTGGGGCTCCAATTTGAGAGACAATGGCTTTGGCCATTCTGCACCAGGTGCCTGAGTCAACAGAACATGATGTAACAGTTGCCCTTGGGGGAGAAGCAGAATCCCCAGAGGGCCACCTCTGGTGGGCACATTTCTGAAGACCATCCCAGATTGCTGTCCAGTCTTCCTGCTTCCTGCTTGCAGACAGGGGAATCAAGGCAGAGCTGGGAGCCCCCTGAAACTGAAGGATTCTCCACCAACAGGGCCAGACCACCCTGGGGTCCACAGCCATGTCATCACAGATGTCCCCCTATCATCAAATGTGTCCAGAAAAGGCTCTGAGTGCAGAGAGGACAACGTCAGCAACTAACAGTAAGTGGCAAATGAGAACGGCGGCCGAGAAACTCAGAAGAAATGGGCTGGACGACAGACCATCTTCTCTTCCCTGATTAATTCTGGCCTAAATCAAGGTGCTTTTGTGCTATAAAACACAACCACCTGATACAGTAGGAAAAGAAATGTTAGACACACACAGGGGTTTTGCTGTCTATGCACAGACCATCTCTAGCATCGCAGACGAGACACTTTTGATATTGACTCCCTCCCGGAAGGGAAACCTGTAGGCTGGGGAGCTGGAGATTGAGGGAGGAAGAGGAGGAAGAAGAAAAGGAAGGAGAGAAAAAGAGGGAGGGACATTGAAATTAAAAAAGTAAAAATAAAGTTAAAAGATAGTTGAGTCTCTTGTCATGCAGAGTGACGTTTAAAAGTCCTCCTAGAGGATATTCTGGCCATGAAACCATGTTTTTTACCTAAAACCACACTGCTGAGCTTATGATCCTTTGTTCAGACCTCACACCCACCACACCTATGTCTGAAAATGCTCACATGGAGAAATCCGGCAAGGATGTGTCCCGGGGCGGCAGAGAGCGACCTTGTTTATTTGCTCCCAAACCAACAGACACTAGAGCTAACCCAGCCTCTCAAAATCCCAGTGGCTCCTGACTCCAGTCCATTTGGCTTAGTTAGGCAAGGAAGAATCTCTTCCAGAAGATTCTAAAGCCTGGGTTTCCAGAGACTTCCCATAACTAAATGGAATTGGGGAACACAATGCTTATACTTTGGGTGAGTGTGCCTATGTGGGAACCGAGGGAAGAGACGAAACAGGCTTGCATTCTGGAATGCGCAGCACTGACTATGCTCAGTTTATAAAGCACTTCCTAAATCCTTGCGGGGAGGAAATATAATAGAAACCTGATTTAACGGGGGCAGACCGAGGCCCGGTAAGGTTTCATGGTAGAACCAGGAGCTAAATGTCCCAGTCTCCCCAGCCACCTTCCGGCAATGACCCCCACATCTACCACCTGCTGGAGGCCTTACACTCTATCTTTATGGTTGGTTTCTTTTCTTTTCCTTCCTTCCTTCCTTCCTTCCTTCCTTCCTTCCTTCCTCCCTCCCTCCCTCCCTCCCTCCCTCCCTCCTTC